CAGATGCCTAGAGTAAGATTCTGGGGAGGATAGGCGGGAGTAAAATCTAGGGTAAAAATAAAGGTAAAAGGTGTAACCATTGAGAAAAGTTAGAGAAAACCTAGATGCTGATGCTAAGAAGGTTTGTGCTTTTGAGGCTAAATAATCTATTGTAAATGTGGAGAGAGAGAGTGCAAATGAGAGTTTGAAGAGCTAAGAAAAGGTCTGGAATAGATTTCATGGTGACTGAGATATAAGGAATCAATCATTGTAGAATAGAAATATTATACAGCAGTTGAAAGGACCCAAGATGAAATTATTTATCATAAGTGTATATTGGGTAATATCAGCTTCACTTGGTGATTTTTCTCTTGAACATTTGGCACTACTCAAGTGGAAACAGAGTAATTGTATGGTGAGGATTATCTAGGTCTGGAACAGTGGAAGGTCAGGAGGGCAAGGAATTCTAGGGGAATAATTTAGTGGCAGTCCATGGGGTCACTCCCCTGTAGATGGAGCTCATGTGTATAAATAAAAGGAAAGCTATAGTAGAGACTGCTAAGTAGTGCAGTAGATAGAGTGCCAGGCCTGGAGTCAAGAAGATCTGAGTTCAAATTAGGCTTCAAACACTTACAAGCTGTGTACCCTGGGCAGGACACTTAACTCTGTTTGCCTCAGTTTTCTCATCTGTAAAATGAGCTGGGGAAGAAAATGGCAAACCACTCCCCTGTCTTTGCCAAGAAAACCCCCAAAATAGGTCATGAAGAGTCAGACATAACTGAAAAATGACTGAACTGAACAGTAGGGACATTGGTCTACGGATGGGTCAAAGGATGAGCCAAGGAACTTGGGGTGTGGTGACAGATGAGGGTGAAAAGTAGACTTAGAGGAAAAGAGTGGGAGAGGTGAAGGGAATAATAGGATTTGTGGTTGGAGAGTCTAATCTTCAAAGTTTGGGATCTCAGAAGTGTTGTAGTTTTGAGAGGCGGCTTTGAAGGAATGTTAGTATAAACCCAGATAGTAAAGACATATTTTGTACCTCAGTTTCACTTTCTGTGAAAAGGGAGAATAAATAGTACATTTCATATCTCCCACATAGAATTTCTTTCTGGGAGTGTTTTCAGAATAACTGCAATCGTTCATCTTAAATGAATGATTGAATTATTTGGGGGGAAGGTATTCTATTCTTATTCTTCAAACATTTTAAGCAGATATTCTTAACCTGGAGTCTGTAAACTTGTTTTTAAAAAATATATTTTGTAGGGGCAGCTAGGCGGTGCAGTGGATAGAGCACCGGCCCTGGATTCAGGAGGACCTGAGTTCAAATCCGGCCTTAGACACATAACACTTACTAGCTGTGTGACCCTGGGCAAGTCACTTAACCCCATTGCCTAACCTAAAAAAAAAAAATGTACATATATATATGTATTTTGCTAACTGTATTTCAGTATTATTGATTTCTTTGTAATCCCATGTGTTGTATTTATACATTTAAAACATTATTCTGAGAAGGAGTTCTTAGGCTTCATCAGACTGTCCACAGTTCCATGAAAAAAAAAAAAGGGTAAGAAAAAGGGTAAGAACCTTGGTGTAGAGGAACAAATTGTCAATACTTCATGTAGGGTACATATATTGCTTTTCTTTTCACATAGTTTTACCTGTGGTGCTAGAGCATTAAAAGTATAATGCATATGTGACAATAATAAAGACCACTGGGGCAGCTAGGTGGTGTAGTAGATAGAGCATTGGCCCTGGAATCAGGAGGACCTGAGTTCAAATGCAGCCTCGGCCATGTAACATTCACTAGCTATGTGACTCTGGGCAAGTCACTTAACCCCAATTGCCTCACGAAGAAAAAAAAACACCACTGCTTATATATTCTCAGCAATAGTGGTTAGCAGTTCTTAGCCACATTTGTTGTCCGTGGTAAATATTAGGAGAGCATTTCTTCTTCTCTATGCCTTTGCCTTCATTTTCAATTCCTCTTTCTTTTCTTTTCTTTTTTTTAACCATAGCAATTTAGAATAAAAGAAACAACCAAGAAACAAAAGAGCATGATAATTTGATAATTTTGCTTTTATAAAAATGAAAAGAAATATCAAGAGATAGACTTTGTTGGCAGCTGGCAAATTCAGAATAGGATTCTATTCTAGGATTTGATATTTTGTTCTCCATTAGTACCCACATTTCCTACTGGGAAAGCAGAAGACTGAGTAGATATCTATTCTATGAAGTTGAGAGCAGAATTTTTTAAGCACCATCCCGAGTTAAAGAATAATTTGAAAATTCAGAAATAATGCTGTCATCCATCTGAATTGTGACTAAACTTACAAATTTTAGGAAGTTAAATCAATGGATATGACTACCATTTTGAAAACAAGGTAATTTAAGGGAGGAAGCACTAAAGAACAAACATTTACACAGGAACTCTGAAGAGATCACAATGAACTATATACATCTGCCATCAAAAGTTTTTAGATTTAATTATAAGCTATGCTCTTTCATTTTGAAGTTAGGATCTCTGAGGGAAAAAACTCTGGCTTCTCTCCAAAAATTCTAGTTGGAGAAATGCTTTCTATAACATCGTTGTTGATTAAAAGTAGAATCTAATAGGATTAAAAAAGCTCGCAACTTGTACTGCTCACTGATAACTTGTTAAAATTATCAGGATTTACATTGAGCTTTACATTGATGGTTTTCTACTAGTAGAAAACAGTTTGAAATTCTTATCAAGCTTTGGGTTAGTAAACTGTTATTAGAAGCTGCAAGATACATAATTTGAACTTTAGAATCTACTGTATCTATTAATCAAAAGTTCAGAATCATTTTAATAGTCTGTTAAAGATAAGCATAAGGTGAAGCCTTAATGGAAAAACCTATAATAATTTAATTAAATTCATAGGAAAACAGCATTAGGATGATATTTCTTTAGTAAGTCACAACTTTCTGGTGTATATACACAATGTAGCAACAGCTGTATATTTGGAAATATGTACATGACTCAGTTATCCATGTTTCATTAGGATTTTTAGCATTATTTGGGAAACTTTCTCACATCATGCTCCTCACCTGCTGCAAAGACATGACAATTTATTCAAATAAAATAACTTTGTGGAGTGCTTTGGTCCTCCACAAATGCCATATTGTTCAGTAGTCTGACTGATATAGTACCTTAAACATTTTTGGTCCTCAAAAAAACTTTTTGAATGACTGAATAATGAAAAATATTGATAATTCTATATGATTATTGTAACATTACATTGTAGGAGTTTGGAAAGTAATATTAGAAGATAGCCATTATTCAAATGTTTGCTGGTACTCAGCATTTTTAAAAATTTTGATGGAAATGCAAGCTTAAAGGATTATTCACGTCATTTTTTTTTTCCTTTGGCCCTTTTCCAGAGCTTTTTTGTATCAAAATAGCTTTCCAGTGGTGTCAATACAGATCAGTAGAGAAATTTAAATACTATATGATTCATTGATATTGGCATCACTTCTATACTTTTGGTAATTTAGGGCTGGTGAAAGTGGTACGATTAACATTTTGACAAGATTAATAAAATCCAAAGTTTTCCCATCTGTTGTCAGATAAGAAGAGGTTTCATTAGAAAAAGGTTGTTGCCAGAAACCAGGAAATATTTCTATTCAGTTCTCTAGGACACTTTTCTTCTGGAAGACATTTTGGTGCCAGGTAGATCGCCTGGGCATGAAAAGACCCAGGTCAGTAAATAACACCAGATGGAGAATCTTTAGGAGTTGCTTTAGGGTACATTTTAGAAGAACTAAAAAAAAATGGTTAAATAAAGACTGAAATAGTTTCTGTATTCAGAGATTTTAACAAGTTAGTAATCCCTCCCCTACATAAACTACTAATTTCAAGAGGCAGCAAGGGGAGGGAAAAGGAGGTAAACAAGAACTAGATTATAGTGTTTTAATTTTATTTTCTTTAAATAAATTATCTAAACTGAAGCATTAAGTATTTTCCATTACCTAAAAAGGCCACTCCTAGTTGGATTTATATCCTTTTATTAAATTATAAATGCTAAGTGGTCAGAATCTCGTTTCTTTTTAAAATCATACTTAACTTGTTTCTGTGTTTATTATAGTACACAAAAACAACTCTACTTGATACTTGGGGAAAAGAAATGTGTTTTAAGTTGTTTAAGTGTCAATGTTTAGAGCAGCTAGGTGGCATAGTAGATAGAACACTGGCCCTGGAATCAGGAGGACCTGAGTTCAAATGCGTCCTCAAACACGTGACACTCACTAGCTGTGTGACTGGGCAAGTCACTTAACTTTGATTGCCTTGCAAAACAAAACAAAAAATGTCAGTGTTCAGGAGGGGAGGGAGAGAAAGATGGAATTTGGAACTTAAAACTTTAAATTAAAATGTTTAAAAAAAATCAGTGTTAGTGGGACTATGGTTCAGAGACCAGGACATTTTGTCTCCAGATAGATCACCAAATCAGGCTCCATATTACTCTGTAGTTACCAAAAAATGCTTCCCATAAATGTTACTCAGATGTTCTTTTGAGCATTTTTTTTTTCTTTTTGCTACTAGGAATCACTTTGGTGTAAGGCTGAAGTTTTATAATTGACCTTTCATCTTTAATAAATTGATTTCCCCTGCCTCTGTGTTTTGCAGCCAGTGTTTGAAAGCTAACATGAAACAACTCCAAAATTAAGGATCAGATTTAAGACACAGGGGAATCTTGAAAATTCTGTTCTTGTAGAATGTTGATTCTGCATTATAACTGATACTCCTGAGTCTCCTGTTTGTGATTCTTGGGGAAAGTTTCATTTTTCAGTGATCCTGGTGTCAGAATGTTCCTCTTAGGGAATGGTAGAGAAAATAAGGAGCTCTTTTGAGTAGAATTTATACACCCATTTGCAGATGGAAAAGGGGTTTTCCAAAATAGTACTTTATCCTTGTCCTTGCTAGATTTGGGATTACCAAAACACTACTTGAAAACAGTTTAGATCTGTGTTGCTAATATATACAATCTCTGCTGTCTTTTTAGATACCCAATCAACTGTGGAGCTGAGAAATTCACAGGAGCAGCCTGTGTTCACAGGTATCATCAGGTTTTCCGTCTTTAAAGTTATTGTCCTTAAGCCATGAAAGGACGGAAAAATGTTCTCTTTCAGATTTTGGTATCTTGTCAATCTAGTGAAAGTGCTTGGAACTCAACAGTTGAGAATATGGTCGTGATACCAAGATAACTATTGAATTAAATCCCCAAATAAGTTGCATGAGTTTTTTATCATCATGACACCAATCCTGCTCCCTCCCACCATTTCTGGTACAGGACTGAATTTTTCATTTTTTTAATTGGTTGTTTTGCTTCCAGTGGATCTTTATTATCCATTCAGGAGTTACCTGTTATCTGGAATGTAATGAAGAGTTAAATTTTTATTTAATTTAATTTAGAAGAATAAGAGTTAATATTAACTTGATTGTCTAGTAGAGTTCAAAATCTGAGGGAAAAAACCCTTAAAATAACATCTTTATGAATTGAATGGTTTGCATGGTTGAATACTGAAGGTTTGTAATACATTGGAAATTTATTTATAAAAGGTTAATAGGGACCATTGCTTTCTGAAGAGTGAATATGTTCATCGTGTTATACATTTATATCCAGGTGAGGTGAAATTTTTCCTCATATTGTCAATTAATCATTATTAATTTTCTTAATACCAAAGAAGCATTTAGCAAATTACTAAAAGAACACGTATTTTTTGCATCATAAAAAACTATAAGTCTTTGAAAAAAATGTTTTAATAGTTGACAGATAATGAATAAGTGACTGCATGAAAGTTTTCCTTGGCAACAAGAAACCCCCTTTATATATACAAATCTAAGCTTGTCTTGCTTAAGTAGCGCAAAGATAGTGCTTCTCTCAGTTTTTCTTCTATCACTCTAATCTCTTTCTTTAACTCTTCCATTTTCCTTTTTTTTTTTTTTTTCATTTGAGGCTTTGCTTGTAGCTGTTTTCATGTTGTTGTCTTCTTCCGAGTTTGTGTCTTGGTCTTCCCTGCCACCATAGTAATTTTCTGTGATCTGTTTCTTTTTTGTTGTTGTTTGCTTATTTTCCAGCCTACTTCTTGCCTTTGAATTTTATGTTAAAGCTGGGCTCTGCTCACCTCGGGGTGGAGAAGTGCTTTCCCAAGTTTAAGTCTTTTTCCACACTGCTGTTTTTCAGAGTTAGTTCTGGGTATCTGCAAGTTTTTGGTATTTCAAGGGTAGTGTGATGCAGGAAGAGGTATGGACACTGCTTTCCTGGTCTGCACTCTGATCTTTACACAGGAAGGGCCATCCCCTGCTCTACTGTAGCTGCAAACTCTAGTGTTCTTCTTGGCCCTGGAACTATGACTAGGGACCCCGCTCTCTTGTGACTTACCATAAGACCTCCTCTCAGTCCTGGAACTGTAACTCAGAACTGCATATGGGCAACAGAGTTGGCATTGTCCAGTCTTGTGCACAATTTCAGTTCTGGGTTCTTGGTAATTTTTCTGACCAGTTGTCCAACTCCCTTATTGTCTCTGGGCTAAGAGGTCCCAAGGCTGCTACTGTAGCTGTCACAGGACTGTTGTTGCAACCAGTTGCACTCCAGGCCTGCCTCCACCCTGGTGTCATAGACCTCTCTTAACAACCATCTAAGTTGTCTTGGGCTGCAGAATGTCTCAACCTAAACTTTTGTTGACTATGCTGCTCCAGAATTTGATCTGAGGCGTTCTTTTAAAGTTGTTTAGAGGTAAATGTTGGGAAAGTTTGGCTAGGTTGCTGCCTCTGCTCTGCCATCTTGGCTGCAAGTAGTACATAGGTATTCCTAAAACACAGTGACTGTGTCACACATCTCTCCTACTCATAATCTTCAATGGCTCCCTCTTCTAAATAAAAACAAAAATCTTTGGTCTGTCATTTAAAACAATACATAATCAAGCTTCCTCTAGTCTTTCCAGTCTTATTTCATATTACTGTCCTCGCCATGCTCACTTTTGTATTCAAATTGACCTGCTTTCTGTTTCACCATGCACAACATTACATCTCTTAATGCCCGAATCTCTTAGTGCCATGCCTGAAATACCCTCCTTTTCTTGCCTCTGCCTTTTGGAATTCCTAGCCTCCTTCATAGCATGGCTCAGGTGCCACCTTCTACATGAGGCCTTGACTCAACCTGCCCTCTTTAGTTATTAGTGCTTTTACTCTCTTAAAATTACTTTGTATATACTTGGTATTTACTTATTCATATACACGTTGTATTCTCTATAGTAGAGTATAAGCTCTTGAAGGCAGAGGCTGTTTAGTGTTTGTTTTTGTAGCCCTAGCTCCTTGGGCAGTATCTTGAACAGAGTAAATACTTGATAAATGTTTATTGAATTAAATATTTTAATTTGTGTGCCTTCTTACATTAAGAACCAGTTACATTCTACATAAAATAGTACTTATATTCTGTCTTATTGGATTTGTATTGTCATCTATTCCTATGCTTTAAGTGTATGTTGCATATTTAATCATTTCAGGAACAAGAAGGAGGGCTTTTTAGAACTTTTTACAATAGATGTCTTCAAACTTCCATAATATACCTTACTGTATAGCTATGTGACATATAGAATTTGGAACTTAGAGTTTTTACAAATCAAGAATTTCATTCAACATTTAGCACATACTGACTTGCTCTACAGAATATACTTTAGTAGATATGCTTTTTTCCATTACCTCATTTACTCTTGTATGTATTCTAGTAAATATGCTTGCTCATATGTTAATTTGTTGTCTTGTTTCTTGGATTGCTGTGTTCTACTTTCCTATGCCTTTGCTTCCAAGTTAATTTTTTAATTTGTAAAAACTACAAAATTCAACAAGTGTTAGGCAGTAGGCTTGAGAAGCGAAAGCAAGTGGCATATATTATCCTGTTTGAGGAAATATTGTCAATTCTAGTGCTTTGAAACTGGGAAGGTGGTCAATAGGTTAGCACTTATTGACGGGTAGAAGCTGAGTAATTTTTCATTTTTTGTGCTCTGCTTAATTATTTAATCATGCTTAAATATAAACATAATTCTAGATACTTTATAATGATAGTAGATGACCTTTATGTCTATGTAAGCCTGTGTAAAATCCTTTTCAAACCTTAAGTACTGTATAAATGTTAGTTTTTGTTATCATGTAGCACCTCAAGGCTTTACAGAGGGCTTTGCAAACATTTTCTCATTTGCTCTTTAGAACAAGTCTCAGGTTGGTACTACAAGTGTTATTAATTTTACACATGAGGAAACTGAAGCTCAGAGAAGGGGAAATTATTTGGCCAAGGTCACTTGGTTGGTCAGTGATAGAGACATAATTTGTGCCCTGGTCTCTCTCGATTCTAAGTCTAGTATACTTGTCAGTTCATCATGCTTCCTTGAAGGAGTCTTATCACTAATTGATCAAAGAAGTATAATTTTCTTTTACATGTGTTTTTTAAATTAAATTTTATTTTCAAATAAATATCTGCCTACTGTCACTCTCACCTCCCTTTCTCCCCAGTTGAGAAAGAAAAAACCCTATTACATTTTAATTCAGTTTTATTTTATGTACCAAATTCTCTCTGTCCTTCCTCCTACTCAAAATCCCTGTCATAAACATGTATAGTTAAGCAAAAGAAATTCCCACATTGGCCACATCCCAAAAAAATGTCTCAAACATACTTTAAGTCCGTCACTTCTCTATCAGAAGGTGGGCAGCACATTTTATCATGAGTCCTTTAGAATTATGGTTGGACATTGTGTTGATCAGAGTTCCCAAATCTTTCAAAGACGTTTGTCTTTATACTATTGTTATTATTGTATAAATTATTCTCCTGACTCTGCTCACTTCATGCTGCATCAGTTTACATGAGACTTACCAAGTTTCTCTGAAAACATGCCTTTCATCATCTCCAGCAACACAATATGTCATCACATTCATATACTATACTTGTTCAGCCATTCCCCATTAGATGACTACTACAATAGTTTATAATTTTTTGATACCTCAAAAAGCTGCTATAACTATTTTTGTCTTTATGAGTCCTTTTTTTCTGATATCTTTGGAGTATAGACAGTATTGCTAAGTCAAAGGCTCTTACTAGATTTTTTGAGGGGCTACACTTCTAAATTGCTTTCTAGAATGATTGGACCAGTTCACTGTCACACCAGCATTGTATTAATGTACCTGTTTTCCCCTGTCCCCTCCAGCATTTTTCATTTTCTGTTTTTTTCTCAGTTTAGCCAATATTTTGGGTGTGATGTGGAGTCTCAGAGTTGTTTTAATTTACATTTTTCTAATTATTTTTTCATATGGCTATTGATAGCTTAGAGTTCTTCCTTTGGAAACTGCCTTTGACCATTTATCAATTGTGGAATGGCTCTTATGCTTATAAATTGAATCAGTTTCCTGCATAATTTGTAAATGAAATGTTTATCGGAGAAATTTGCTACAAAAATCTCCCCTTCCCCCTCTACCATTTACCTGCTTCTCTTCTAATTTCAGCTGCATTGGTTTTGTTTATACAAAAACTTTTTAATTTTATGTAACCAAAGTTTTATACTTTATCTCCTGTGAACTCTTTTATCTCTTGTTTGGTCGTGAACACTTCCCCATCCCTCTATTCAGAGTTACATGTGATTTTTATTCATATAAATTCACTAAATACATGGTCATTTTACTCATTTTCTTTGCATCATTCCAATTTGCTTTCCAGAATGGTTCTATTGATTCACAGTTCCACCAGCAATGTACTAGTATACCTATCTTCACCCAACTCCTGCAGCATTGACTATTCCCATCTTTTGTCTTCTTTGCCAACTTCTTGCTACAGGTTTAGGTAGGATTTAATTACATCTTGGGGCAGTCATATTTTCTAGAGTAGGAATACACCTTCATGTTCTTGATAAGCCATGGGAAAATAGAACTTAATATGCAGAAATTTTATTTTCTTATATCTCTTCAGAAATGCCTTTGTATTTTTAAGTTCAATACCCAGTTCTGTGTGTCATCAATTAACAACCAATAGCAGTATCCTACTAAATGTTATGAGAGTTGGGAGTACCAAACTAAATAAAAAACAAACTCTTTCACATTTTAGTTTTAGCCAGAGAAATTAAATACCTGCTAAGATTTAACTGACCACGTATAAAGTGAAGCTTCATGAGCTTGAGGGCATTGCTTAGCTTCTGAAGGTTTCACGTATTATACCAAAAAAGCTTAATATGCCACCTACCACCAAAGGTTTGTATGAAGTAGATCATAAATAGCATGTTTAAGAGTTGAATTGTAGTTAAATGATTAAGATTATTATTATTTATACCTTCTTTCATTTAGAAGGCCAGGTGATTTTGAATGACTACAGTCCAGCCAAACCTCAAGAAGCAGAAAATATGGACAGTGGAGAAGACAATAAAGACCAGGTCCCACTCAATGAAGATGAGGATATAGGAGGTAAGTTGGAATTTACTTGCCAGAAACTAATGGTTAAAAGTTTGATAAATATTCAATTTTTAAGGAAAATAAGGAGCTGTCTGAGGATAATGGAGAACAAATTATTTTGGGAAGAATAAAACAGTTTTGTTCAATTACTATACCTTCTTAAAATTCATCCCAAAATTTCATCACATTTTTTAGAACATAGGATGCCTCACCAATCTCCTAAATAAATGCACAGCTTACACTGAATTTGTACTTATCTTTTATATTAATGTTTATGTTGGCACAGATATATAACATAAACAATCCATATTGCAGTCAGCCCTAGAATCATTATATATAATATGTGTCTAAATGCGTGGTGTGTTGCACAGACACTTTCTTAGGATCTCTCTCTTTCATTGAAGTCTCTATAATAAACATTTAAAGAGGTCATGAAATAGAGCTGTGTGTTTAGAACCTCTGAGATTGAAATCACAACATAAACTAACATTCCAGCTATGCCGAGCTGTACATTAGTTTGTGCCAGTTCTAAACCACAGAGACTGCAAAGTGCTGCTTGGCACAGGATGTGGTCATTTGTGCTGAGGAAGGCATATAGTGCTTTACCAGCTCCATGAGACTTCTTGAAGGTGACTTATCCATGGCATTGCACTCTCATCAAGGCAGAGAGTGGCTCCAGCCTGGCATGCAGTTTTTTAAATAAGGGCTTACACATATCATAGTGTTTAAAATTGTGTTTGCATTTGGAGACCATTGGGTGTAGGAGGTTTAGAATTATTTGTCAAAAATTCTCTTAGGTTTGAAACATGGCATATGATTATCCTGTTTAGGAACAGTTAAAACTGACAACCCCTTCATCCCACCCCTCCCAAACCCCCAACCTAAGACAAGAAGCCAGAACCATTCTTCTTATTCATGTCAATTTTTGGAGAATATTGTGAAAGAATATGGTGTGGTAGGTAGCTAAATATTTGAAAATTTCCTGCACTCAGCAAATGCTGCCTAGATAGCAATAAGCCATCCTCTTTCAACCCATATTCAACAAATCATTGTCATTGACTCTATTCTAGAGGAATTGGCACAAGTGACAAAAAGGAGACTCAATTTCTGGAGCTCATGCATCTTGGGACATAGTTGATGGTTATAGATAATAACAAGAGCTAACATTTATATGCAGTATTTATGTATTTCAGCACTGAGTCCCTGACACAGTAGGTGCTTAATAAATAATTGTTGACTAGTGTTTTACATATATATTATTTCATTTGTCCTTCACAATACCCCTGTGAGGTGGGTGCTATTATTATCCCTCCCTATTTTAAAGAAATCAATTCAGACTCTTCACTGGAAGGTCAGATACTGAAGCTGAAGATTAAATACTTTGGCCACATAATGAGAGGACAGGACTCATTGGAAAAGACCCTGATGTTGGAAAGATTGAAGGCAAAAGGAAAAGGGGATGGCGGAAAATAAGATGGATAGATAGTGTCATGGAATAATGAACCTGAACTTGGACAGACTTTGGAAAATAGTGGAGGAGAAAAGAGTGTGCATACTGTAGTCCATGGGGTCATGAAGAGTGGGACAAGACTGAGCAACTGAACAACAACATTTTACAAATGAAGAAACTGAGTCTGAGAGCAGTTAAGTGACTTGCCCAATACCACACACAGTGTTTAAGGCAGGATTCAAACTCAGGTTTGAGAATCTTAGAATCATATATTTAGAGTTAGAAGGCACCTTAGAGTCCATTGAAGCCAGCCCCTTTATTTTAGAGATGAGGTAATCAAGATCCAGAGGTTAAGATTTGAACTTAAGCCTTCCAGACTCTAAGAGCAGTGCTCTATCCAAGTCAACAGACTTGAAGTGTTTACTATGTTCCAGACACTATGCCAAGTGCTGGGGATACAAATGCAAGCAAAAAGAAATATTATCCTTGCCCTCAAGGAGCTTCCATTCTAATGGAGCTGAAAAGTGGTGGTGGTTGCTGGAGGGTGCAGGGGAGTAATGAAGTGAAGGGAGGGGTATGGAGATGGTGGCTAAGCTGAGAGAGTCAGAAGCAGAGCTGGGAGAAGAATGAAGCATGGTTGACCTAAGCCCAGCCACACAATGGAGGTTCTGGGAGGCCCCATCAAGGGGAGAAGGGGTCACAAGGTGGAGGGATGTTCCAGGGTGAGAAGATCACAAATACTGAGTAAACTTTTTGGGGGAGAAAATAGCTGAGTCCAGAGCATCAGAAACAGAACTTATATTTATGCTGTACCTTAAAGTTTACTAAGCAAGTAAGTTTACTAAGCAGGTGAGTTATATCTAACTGTATTTTATAAATCCTTTTGCTCCCTTTCTGAACTGCTTGGTATTTCTTCTGTATTTGCTTATGATGTTGTTGCCCTTGCTAGAATATACGCTCCTTGAGAATAGACAGTTTTATTTTTTTCTTTGTGTCAATAGTATCTGGCAGTGTCTGTCTCGTAGGAACAGGGGATAGGTATTGAACCTATGATTTTGTTCCGTATGGGGAACTCTTTCCCAGGTGAAGAAAGTCCCTCTGCCAATGCAGATGGGCACCCTTTTTGCAATTTATAGACCTAGAAAGTTGCTTTAGGTACTGAGAGTTTTAATGCCTTACCTGGTCTTACCTAACCAGCATATGTCAGAGGCCAGGAGGCCAGCTTTCTATCCACTATGCCACTGTGGCCTCTCTGCCACAGACTATGCTCTCAATAAATACTTGTTGATTGGTTAATTAAAACACAAGAACTTTTCCAAGGTCATGTGGTATTTAATGGTAGAGTCAGAACTCAAATCCAGGTCTTATTTTACTTCACTGTAATACTTCTCCTGTTGTGGTGCCACCCCCTCTCCACTACAGTTCTATAGAAACAAGGGACATCTGTGGATGGAAACTACTTTTCCCAGGTGCCATATGGCTAGGACTGCTATGTAGTTCTCCTGGGCAACCAGGCATGAGGCCAATAATCCTAAGTAATCTAGGAGGGAGAATTTTCTTCCTTCCTTGCCCCATACTGATACATTCCCCTAAAAAAAGAATTGAGTGGACTAATTCTGTGTCTTAGAATTAATTCTGTATGTCACAGTTCACTTGCATACCAGTTACACCTATGTTAATAGTGGCACTCATTCAGGGTCATAGACTGGATAAAGGCAGGGACCAGGATCTCTGCTCTGTAATATGGGATAACAGTGATTGCTGGGCATACATCATAGGCATTTGACAATGCAAATAATGTTTATCTAATGTAGCCTGAGCAACATGGCCTGGGAGATATCTAAATCCTATCACAGACACAAACCCATGTTGTTATTTAGAAGTAGAGACGTTATATAATGCGGTGACCAGGATGCAAATCATTTCAGCAAATCCTGGTCCAACCTTAAAGGACATTAGGGAAATTTTTACCTAAATTGCAATAAAAATGACCACATAGATTGTCAAGTACTTAGGAATCCCAGTTTAATTGTAATCATTACATTTTTAAAAGTCATCTAGAGGAGTTTTGGAGTTTTTAGTGACAAAAAAACTACCTTTATCTTGGAGTGTTTTTTATCCTGAGTAAGTGCTAATTGTGTTTTATTTTAGGTTCTAAGAGAGGTAAAGTGTGTGGGTTTTTTTTTAATGAAAGATCTCTTTGTGCAGATTTCCAGCAGTTAGAAGTTTGCTTTGTAGAAAATTGCAGGCAACCAGTAGAGGCACTCACTTTTTTTTTCCTGTGGTCTAGAAGAAAGCGGGGTGATTTTTGCGAAAATAACTATTGGGCTAAGACCTCGGCCATAGCCTTTACCTCCTTAAAGGGGTAGTTTAATATCATTAACATTGTGAAGAGGTGGTGGTGGAAGCAGAATTTAAAACCCAACAGGATTTGGCATAAAATTCCTTTATTCATCACCCAATAGATATCTTGGTCATTTTTTTGGTAAAAACAACCCCAGACGTCCAATGTGCTTGTATGTATTTAATGGAAATATAGAAATGAAAACAGATAGTGGGGGCATGGGCCAGTCTAGTGGTCAGTGGGGAGCCAGTGACCTCCCTAGAGTTCCTTCTGCATTCCCCTTAACGTGAGGCAGTATAGTAGAAAGAGTCCTGGAACAAAAACCAGAGGGCCAGGTCTGAATCTTCTCATCCTTCAAACTCTCTTCTTCCTAATGTCCCTGTTTCTATCGAGGGTAACACCATCTCACCCACGTTCCTCCCAATCTCAGAGTCATCTTCGAATCTCCTTTCTCCCTCACCCCGTACATCCAGTTGTCAGTTTTGTTGATTTCACCTCCACAATTTATCTCACTTCCACCCTCATGTCTCCATTCACGTAGCCATTATTCTGGACTATTGCAGTAGTCTAATTGGCCTCCCTGCCTCCAGGTACTCCTCTCTTTAGTCCATTGTCCCCACAGTTAACAAATTCCTTAAGTTCAAGGCTGACTATGTCATTCTCCTCAAGAAGCCCTACTGGCTTCTTTTCCCTGGGATGAAATTAAGCCTCCTGTGTTTAACTTTTAAAGCCCTTTCCAATCTGACTCCAGCCTACCTTTTCAGGTTTACTGCATATTATATCCCTCCATGCATGCTACAGTCTAGCCACACCAATCTCCTTCTCTTCCTTTTGTACAACATTCCATCTCATCCCTCAACCTTTGTATAGGCTGTCCTCCATGCCTTGAATGTACTCTCTTTTTACCTTCACCTCTTAGATTCCCTAGCTTTCCTCAAAACTCAGTTCAATCCAATGCTGAGCCTCACTTCCCCATCCAGCTTACAGGACCTCTCCCCTAAAACAAGAGTTCTTAAACCTTTTGTTGGGTGTTGGGCATGATCTAGTGAAGCCTATGAGCCCGTCTCAGAATAATGCTTTTAAGGGCATAAAATACTGGGGATTATAAAGGAAACTAATTCTGTTGAAATAAAGATGCATTATTTTCCTATCCAACTTCACAAATTATTCACAGACCTTAGAAGTTATTTATATATGTATATATATATATATTTTTTC